TCTGGTGGCCTTCAGTCGATGATTCTTCCCGACTAATGAGCAATCCTGGATGCCAACTTTAGGGAGGTCAGCATTTGTTTGATCTTTAGGTCTGACTCACACCAGGAGCATCTCCCCAGTAAGCTGTCTGGTCTTTGTCATCCCCTTTGAGGGCCTGTCCCTGTCTAACTACCTACAATATTTCTATCTAACTCAGGCTGCCTGCAACACTGGGATTAGGGCTGTGAGCCACTGCGCCCCGCTCCCGGATGTTTTTGTGTGCTCAGGAACTCTTTGGTCCCCTTTGGGGTTTCAATTGTGCTTTAACTGTGTTCTGTCACCCCTGATTGCCTGTATAAAGAATAGCGCCCTGCCTGGCTTAGGAGAAGCTCAGACAGGCAGGAACCCATGACCTTGACCCCGCTTCGCCGACCTTCATCCCCACCGTCTGTCACCATGTCTTGCACGAGACCAGCCAGTGGCTGATGGTCTCTCAAACGCTTAAGAAGGGGAAGAGTAAGGAACACTTAAGGCTTGTAATCAACAAGGTCCCCGCTGCCCTGATCAGTGATTGGTCCATCCTAATAACCCTTAAGCGCTAATTGGCCCATCCACTTGCCCTGAGTCAGCTCGTTGGTAGCCTGCACCTTCTAGATGCCCCCAGCCAATCAGGCCCGAGCTTTACGTGGAGCACTGGAGATGGTTCTTGAAGTAGTGCAGCGCCAGTTTGAACTGGATCTGCTGGTTGGTGTTGGCCCGGTAGGCGCTGTAGTTCTTCTCCAGCGCCAGTAGCTCCCTGTCTGTCGCCGGTGAGCGGGACTGGTGACCCATGACCACATCTGGACAGGAACCCACCAGCAGGCTGCCCAGCCCGTCTATAAAGAACTCTGCGGAGAGAGCACGAGAGAAATAGGAGCTGCCACCGGGCCACCAGGGTGGTTTGTCTTGAGACAGGGTCCCGCTTCCTGGTTCCAGCCTCCCACGAACTCAGCGCAATCCTCCTGTCTCAGCCTCCTGAGTGCCGGGCCAGGTGTGCGCCACCGCACCCCGGCGGCTGTTGCAATTTAGTAGAAAGGGATTTCTGGGGAGAGAGGAAAGAGGGCTGGAAGGAGGTATGGGATGGGGTTGCAGAGCGGGAAGAGGAAGCGTGAGCAGGGAAGTCCAGGGCGGGGAGACACTGAAAGCTCCCTAGTTTGAGGTCACGGGGACAAAGGCCTGCGGTGTGGCCCTTGGTTTCCTGGGTGTCACCAGGCTGCCCGTCCTCTTGCCCACCTTGATGAGCCACCCGCTGCAGGCGGGGGTCGAAGCCAACTCTTTGGAGCCGTTCAGTGTGGGCCAGGAAGAAGTTGGCCACCCCGCTGGTCACCACACAGCCAGGGAAGCCGTCCAAGGGCTGGAAGGATCCGGACCTGCGGTGAATGCAGTTCCCGCCTTCGCTCTGCTCCAGGAACAGCTTGAACTGGAACACGTTTCCCTGCACGCTGCCGCCCACCTAGTGGTGGACAGACTGGGTTTCATCCTGCCTCCTCCAGGAAGCCTCCCCAGATGGCTACACCAAGCAACACACTTCTCTCCGGCTGATCATGGTGGTGCATGCCTGTCATCCCAGCCCTTGAGAGGCTGAGGCAGGAGGATCTCCCGGGAGGCAAAGGCAGGGTTCACTTCTGGTTCCAAGTGCGACACTCCACGCTGGAGCTGTGCCTGCCCCTTCCTGAGGTGGCCCCTTCCTCCAGAACTGGGGATTGACTCACACCCTTGTGCTTGCCAGGGAAGCGCTTATTCTCCCTGGCCCCCCCTCGGTCTTTTTTTTTTTTTTAATTATTTATTTATTACATTTATTTATTGTGTGTGTGTGTGGCCAGCTCAGCCCACCGCGGTCCCTGTGCTTTGCCAAGCTTGTTTCAAGTAGGTGTTTTAGACCACTGAGCCATCTCTCCAGCACCACTTTTGGTCTTTTTGAAACAGGGTTTCATTATGCGGCTCAGGCTGGCCTTGAACTCACTTTGTAGCCCCAGCTGGTCTCAAACTTGCAAAGATCCTCCTGCCCAGCCTCCCAGATGCTGGGATTACAGGCGTGTGCCATCTCGCAGGCTGCCTTCTCACTTTTTTTTTTTTTTTTTTTTTGGCAGAACTGGGGATTGAACTCAGGCCCTTGTGCTTGCCAGGCAAGCACTTATTCTACTGAGCTACTTCCCCAGCTCCCCTCCTCACTCTTGAGATCGCTCCTCCTCTTCTCTTCCTCCCCCCTGTCCACCACTCCAGGCCACACCAGGCACACGGCCACCACCCCTTACCACATCCAGCTCCGTGTTCTCCAGGACCTCGACCAGCCTCTCAATCTTGCTTGTGGGGGTGAAAAGGAAATCATCGTCCACCCAGAGGACATACTTGGTGGTGGCCTGGGAGATGGCCAGGTTCCGCCCAGCAAACCAGCCCTGTAAGCAGTGGGTCAGATCAGCGGTCGCCACCCTCACCTCCCCAGCTCTGCAGGGTCCTTGGGGAGATTCCTGGGTCCCCAAAGCCATGCTGTGTCCAGACAGACAAAGTCACAGCCTACGGGATGAACCCAGTGTCCAGGCGAGGTTCAGAACCGCCAGTTGCGAGAAGTCTAGGCCTCAGAAGAATTTGGGAAAGAACAATCACTTTTGGTTTTTTGAGAGAGGATTTCACTGTGTAGTCCAGGGTGGCCTCGATCTCCCAGCAGCCCTCCAGCCTCAGCCTCCTGGGTGATAGGAATACAGGCATAGCCCACCACGCTGACGCAGTCCCTAGCGTGGGTGGATTCGTGGGCACGAGGGATGCGCTTCATGGGTGGATATTGGGCTGCAGATCAGGAATCCCAGAGGTGCAGACACAGGGCTGTCACTAGACAATCCCCTCAGCCTCCACACCATCATTAAGGAGGCTGGAGCAACCACCCAATAATGCTGGAATGTGGGGGTGACTCGCTGTCAGTCTGGGTTCACAGAGGCACCCGGGGAGGGCCCCAGTGCCCCAGCCTGGGAGGCCGCACCTTCCCAAAGGGCATGATGTAGTGCTCCACGTATCTGTCTTCAATCTTCACTGGCTGGTTGCTGTCATCAGCCACGATGACGGTCAGGTCTGGATAGAACGCCCGGATGCTCTGCAGCAGGACCTTCAGCTTGTGGGGGCGCTGAAAAGTCTTGGTGGCAATGGTCACCAGGTTCCGGAGGTTCCTCTCTGGACAAAAGCAGGCAGCCTGAGTCTGCCTCAGGGCAAGTCTGGCCAAGTACCTCCACAAGGGATCGCTTTCTTAGTTTTGAGATGGGGGTCTCACTGTGTAGCCCAGGCTGCCCTGAAACTCATGGCGATCCTCCTGCCTCAGCCTCCCGAGTGCTGGGATGACAGGAGTACACCAGCACACCTGGCTTCGTTAAATATAACTAAGCAATGTAGGGCACTGTATGCAAGAATTTCTTTCCCGCAAACAAATCTCTGGGATTATATCAGAGTGTATTATATAATTATACCATATTTTGATCAGTTCTCCTACAGCTCCAAGGTCCCCCACGGAGTGTGGGGCCAGGCTCACCTGGTCCTGGGTCATACAGCTTGGGGATGACAGGGTAGCGGATGCTCACGGGGAACTTGGCCACCGCAGACATGGACTCCAAGCTCACTGCGGGAAGAAGCAGTCAGAGCCACTGGCAGCCTTTGCAGGTCAAGGCCTACGCTGCCCAGGAAGCAGGTAAGTGGGGGTTATAGTCCCCTGAGAGTCGACATTTGGGCTTCTGACTTGCTGGGTGTCCAGGGGCAACCAGCTGAATGGTACTAGAGGTACACCTCCCCTGCATGAACATGGCATGGGATCGGTTTAGGGTGGGCTGGTGGGCTTGGGGTGTTAGGGTCTAGGTACCAGGAATCAAACTCAGGACCTTGCACTTGCCAGGCAGGTGCTTAGGCCACTGAGCTATCTCCCCGGCCTTGTTTTGCTTTTTGAGATAGTCTTGCTATGCAGGCCAGGCTGGCCTCAATCTTGTAGAAATCCTCCTGCCTCAGCCTCTCACAAGCAGATTCCAGCCACATGCCACTTTGCCCAGCCTGAAGACAGCTTGGAGCATGGCATAGGGGGCTAATGAAACCAGAAGGTATGGCCTGGGGAAGGGACCCCCCCAAAAGTTCATGGGGTGAATGTGGCAAAGTGGGGAAGGCACTGGGTAGCTGGGAAGTTAAGTATCAGGGGTTGGAGGTGGGGAAGGATCTGAAAGCCAGGCAGGCCTCCTGGAGGTGGAAGATCCCCGCAGCCCAAGCGTTTTCGGAGCTGACGTCTCACCCACATCCACACGGTTGTGCTGGTAGCTGGCGCTCGTGTAGGTCACATGCTGCAGGACGAAGTTCAGCAGCTTCCGGTCAGGGGTGGAAATGGTCAGCCGCTTCTCGCCCCTGCCCTGCACCACTTCGTCTGAGACGTCGGCAAGGGTGTTCAGTGTCCCCAGAGTGGCCGCCAGGGTGACCTGGGGAGGCGTCAGGCACACGCGTGTGACTACACAGCCTCCAACTAGGTGGCCACCATGCACCGCTGGACCTTCTCTGTCAGCGCGGGATGAAACTTCCCACCCACTCAGCAGCTTAGGCTGGGCGAGGGGGCGGCGCTGGCGGTCCCAGCGCTGGGGAGGCCGAGGCAGGAAGACTGCCGGGAGTTTGCATGAGAAAGCAAGGCACGCCCCTCTGTGAGAGGGAGGGGGGGGCACGGATCAAAGGAGGGGAAAGGCGGAAAACAAGATTTTTGGCAGCCCTGGCTGCAAAAGCCGCACTGCCTGGGGAGGGGGAGGCAGGGCGCTGGGGCCGTTCCTGGAACCGAGAAAGGCCAGTGAGCCCCTGAGGCTGCAGGAGTCTCCAGCTTTTGCCTGGTGCCGTTCAGACTCTACTGAAGAAAATCAAGGTCATAATTCAGTGACTCAAAACGCTACCGAAGTCACCCAGAGCCTTACACCGCTCCACTGGTCATTCTCCCCTTGACAAAAATTTACAAGTTACAAATAAAAAAAGGACCTATTGGGTTAAAAAAAACAAAAACAAAAACAAATTAATTATTGAAAGAAAATCATTGTAAAAGGGCTTTTAGACACAAGTGTGGACGCCCCGGGTGGCAGCCCAGGGAGTGCTAGGTTGCCCGCCTGGCCGCGGGCAGCAGGCGGCTCTGCTGGGAATTGAGCATTTTCTTTTTCTCTCCGTTACAATTGGCCAAAGAAAAAGAGCCTTTACATTTTTCCGTTAAGGTGATTGATTTAAAACACTGTCTCTATCCTCAAAATAAGTGTTTTGCCTTTAATTGAAAAAAATCCATCAGTAACTTCTGCGGATAACCCACTACTATTATGGACTGCTGGACAGTGTTGGATGGTTTTGCTGAATTCAAGCACCTATAGTATTTATTTTTGTTTTGTTTTGTTTTTTGGGTTTTTTTTTTTTTTTCCCCCCCGGAACCAGGGATTGAACTCAGGCCCTTGCGCTTGCCAGCGAAGCGCTTATTCCACTGAGCCATCTCCCCGGCCCCTATAGTATTTAGATGCCAATAGAATACCCACCTCTGACAGGACCAAATGGAAAAAAGGGGAAACGAAGGACCATTTCGTATTTGTATATACAGAATAGTTAGGATAGATATACAGCTTTTGCTTAATTCAATGAGAAGAAAGATTTGTACTAATAGTGTTTGGACAAAATGTCCTGTCTGCTTCTTGTACTACAGATAACCACTAGGAAAATAACAATATATAAGGTATTAATTATTGAAACTGTCCTATTAATCAGCTTTGGAACTGTCTCATTGATATTTCTCAATAAAAAAGAAATTTAAAAAATCCAGTGTTTTCCAGCTGGAACCATGGAGGGTGTAGAAGAGAAGAAAAAGAAGGTTCCTGCCGTGCCAGAAACCCTTAAGAAAGGCGCTGGGGAGATGGCTCAGTGGAATAAGCGCTTCCCTGGTAAGCACAAGGATCTGAGTTCAATCCCAGGTTCTAAAAAAAAAAAAAAAAAAAGAGGCAAATAACTTCCTGTGGCCATTCAAGTTATCATCTCCACAAGGTGGAATGAAGAAAAAGACCACCCATTGT